CCAAGTCTACCTGATAACAAGACCAAGTTGCGACAACGAGGTCAACCCACTTCACATAGCCTTGTTTTTCCAAAAGTTGTTCTTATCCAAGGTGGACTGCAGTTTCGATCTCGCATCTATCTTACCAACACCCCCAGCGGGAGTCGAATAATGACAGTGCAGAATCGAAGCATGACACGTTAACCACTCGGCCACATTGCCACGAGTGCCCTAGAGTCACAGGGCAAATGTGAAACTCTACTTAAATATGAAAAATAAGTAACGTAGTCGATTGTTATAGCAAATAAACGTTTGCTTCATCACAATCCCACAAAGAATATGATATGGCAAAAGGCCTGGCCTTCCTTGAAATTCACATTTGCTCTGTAACTCAAGGGCACTCATTGCAATGTGGCCGAGTGGTTAACGTGTCAAGCTCCCATTCTGCACTGTCATGGTTCGACCCCCGCTTTCATTAATAAATTATGGAAGAGAATAAGATAAGAAATAAATAATTATCCTGAAGGATAATTAAAGATATCACCTGCGCCTGAAAGTATAACGTCTGTTATGGTCTCACGCCTTCCAAAGGCTGGAATTGGCTTGATCCAGCTGCTGGCCATCGCCGGAAGGCATTCCGATTGATTTTCGGCCCTTGCCTCATCTCCACTGGCATCAAACTGGGAAGCATTGGATAGTAAGTTATTCTCGAGTTGTGGACCCGGTCCGAGAAATTCAGCACAGTCAATTATGTATTTGTTAACAAGACTAGTTTGAACAATATGAACAGGTAATCGAGAATGGGTGACCAGATAAACGGGCCCAGGCGCCTAAGAAAGGCAAAAAATTGTATGGCTGATTTGTAATCAACAGAATCTTGCTCAGTGAAAAGTTTCAAGATAAAATTTGATTGATTGCAGATTAATCGCACCAAATCTTTTTTTTCCACAATGGTAATTGAGCTGGATAATATTCTGTAATTCAAATAATAATGTATGTCAAGTGAAACTAGAATACTTGTAAGTGTGAAGGCCAGGATGGTGTGGCCCTTGCTCTGGTAGCGGTCTTCCTTAGATGTATAGACGTGCTTTGACCTCGCTTTCGCGACTTAGACGTATTTTCAAAGCGACCCAGATGAACGCAATAATAGCCATGTTAATCTCCAGTGTTTAAACATGTACCTTGCACATTCAGACATTTCGCTGATATTGTAGTGGGCATTGTCAGCTAGTCTCGCCATATTTAGCACCACACTAAAATTTGTCAGATACCTCAAGCAACTTAAAATCATCAAAATTTTTATGACGGTTTGCTTTGCTTAAAGTTTAAAATACAATGAAGATAAGCCTATCTGACCAGATGTAGTATCGTTATAAGGGTGGCAAGGATCATGGAATATGCGGGTGAAACGCCTGGGAAAGCATAAAGTACACGGTTCGACAGGAAAATATTATGGATAATATGGCAAAGGAATCTAGACAGGGTGCAGTTATCTAGATCTTTCTGACAATACGAGCAAGGCCACACAAAAGGCCACACCATCTTGGTCTTCATACCTTGTCATTAAGGCTTAATGACCTAAGAGAGAGCGGACCGACACTACATTAACCTGTTAGCAAGAATGGTTGAGATAATGGGTTGTAAGCTTGTAGGCATGTAACTCCGGTCACTAAACCACTTGTCCTAACATCTCACTTGAGGGAAATTAACGTTTACCCATCAACGGAATGGCATGACTAGGGCTGCGTAATCTCGTACATCTGGTTTGGTTGATGCACTTAATCTAACATTTTGGACGAATGTTAATGAAATTATAAGCTATTAAGTTAAGTCGACTTCTTTTGGATGGCTGTGCAACACCCCCTTCTCCTTCAAGCATGCATAAGTAGTTCTTACTCAACTCTC